CAAAATATCTGAGCTTGAGCTTCATTATCGATCCTTCCAATGAGCAATGAATTTTAAATTTTAAAAATGGGCAAAAATTCCATAAACCTTCATGTGATAACATGAGATTTTGCCCATTGTGGTAGCAGTCCTTCAGATTTGGGTCATTTGGTCCCTATTTAAAATATTGATTTTTAATTTTGGAGACCCATGATTCCCAATTAGAGTTGTAGGCATCGTTACAAAATTTGCCATATTCAGTGAGAAAATATAGCTCAAGATATTTGGAAAATTTACACTAAGAGGCCCAGGCCAACCATACAATTCAGTAGGGCCAAGTGGGCGGTACTTTGATATCACAAAAGAATCAGAAGATTTAATTTATTATTGTGTGGATAAAGCACTGGTAGGATTTTCTATTGGGTGCCAAATCATATGCAACCCTGCACCTTGATTTGAAAAGAAGAGGGCTTATTTGCTTCTTAGTCCCTGGAAACAAAATGTCAAGGGCTGGCTCAACTGCAGGTGAAATATTTTGTGGGCAGAGAAATTGAATATTGGGAGAAATTAAACTGACTGAACTTCTAATACTGTAGAAGAGAATATATGTGGCTCAGGGTTGAACTGTGAAGTTCCCGGTGCTCTCTGAGCTTGGTTGTTTGCTTGCAGACGTTTCATTGCCCAACTAGGTAACATCATTAGTGTGAGTAAGTGTGGGGTTTGCTCCCTGTTTATATATAGTAGCTTGCTGCCTGTTATATATATTGTAGCTTGAAGCAAACCCCACACTCACTCACATTGATGTTATTTAGTTGGGTAATGAAATGTCTGCAAGTAAACAACCAAGCTCAGAGAGCACCAAGAACTTCACATGACCAAATTTCTGCCTGATATAATATTCTTAAAGGCTTAAGAAGAGTTTCTTGTAATATTGAAGGGTTTTATTCATTTTATTGAGGAAGCACTGTGGAGGGAGTAACTGGAACTAGATTTCATATCACCTGGAAGGAGTTCTAAAGTAGCCTACTTGGGAGAGCTGGGAAGAAGCCCAACTGGAATTATTTTGCATCTGAGAATTCCTTCTCTTTGCACATCCTCAGGTATTTGAGCAGGTGCTACAGACAAAGCCATTTTTGGAGTTCCTGTTTTGAGCCAAGTTGGTCAGAAAGCTGCTGGCATGTATACTCTTTTCAGAATATTTAGCAATGTCCAGTAGAGTAAAATGTTCTCATTTTCTACTCATACTTGCCTCTTTGCCACAGAGATTCCTTCATCCTCTTCCCATGGGGAGACGTATGATACATGCTAACCAATGAACGAACTAACTAACTAACTAACTAACTAACTAAATAAATAAATAAATAAATAAATAAGCAAATTCCTTGGGGGACCATTAGCAAAAAGGAAGAGCAGCACAGGGGTATTGTTCAAGGAAAACCTCCACCTTCATCTCCTATGCTTGCACATGATTTGACTCTAATATCTATCTACTGCGCCTGCTGGAATTAATTCACCTGTCCTGTTGCACTGGCAAAGGAAAAAAAAACCCCAGAATTTGGCATCTGAATTTCCTTGTGGACGGAGCCCTCTTCAGGAGAAGAGAGAAAGAAGAACCACAAATGAAGATAAAAGAGGCTAGATTGTCTGCAAAAAAGGAGAAGCCAAGACATAGAATGGTCACTGCTCATCCACCCTCAGGAAAAAAGGGAGTTACTGATTTCCTGACTGTAATTCATTATCATAATCACCATGCACATAAGTAATCCACCTTCTAAATTTAGCTACCACATATACATTATGCAAATAGCACCCTCAATTCTTCTTATGGATTGGTCTGACTTGCCCAGCTTAAAGAACAGGAAAGAAATGCAGTGGTCACCGCAGTCTGAATTTTTGCACCAAATGTTTGCTTAAATACGGATTTATAGCCTACTTTTCATGGCTAAAAAGGACAAGGTAGACAGCATTGCAATTAAAAATACAAAATAATCTAATTAACCCATAAGAATAATAATGCATAAATAATTCAAGTAACAAGTAAATACAACATTAGCAGAAACAGATAATATATTAGTTAAAACAGAGGGTGCTAAAACAGAATGTGATCATACATAGATTGGCATCAATAAATCTTTAACTATTTCTTCTAGTATTAAGTATGTTGCCGCCTTGAGTTATTTATAAAAATAATAAAGACGAGATTAAAAAAATCTAAAATCTAATCTAAATCTCTGGCATTCACACGTTTTCGGGCTGTTTTTCACAATTATAAGGACTCGGTGCTAATAAAAATACTTTTCCAAAAAACTGTCGACTTTATGCAGTTTTTCTTGCATAGCTGTGCAATTGCTACCAGCATCCAACCTTGATTATATTCAGTGTTATCTATAATTTGTTTGGGCTTCTTGTTAGTGTTACAGTCTTTCTATTATACATATTCCCAATAATCTTGGGAAATCAATTCATGAATCTCCAATTTTAAGATACAGAATTTAAAAAATTCCTTATGTTAATCAAAAGATCAGACTAGACATGCTAACATTCTGCATATTTGTGAGCTTTAAAAAAAAGTTGCAAACCAGGGTGGTATGGAATATTCAAATTCAGATCATTATTTCATTCATAAGCCAGCAGATGGCATTAATATTTTGTCATCTCATTGTTATCCCATCCTTTCAGCTGAGCAGTTGTGTTCATGTTTGGCAAGCTGTGTAAGCTAAATCTACAAACTGATGAAATTCATGCAAACCATGGTGAGTTAATGCCGTATACTTTTGCCTCAATCCCCAATAATCACCTCTACTACATTCAGGAAGGGCATCACCATTCTTCAGAGCACCCTTCCTTTTGCAAAATACCTCTCAACCTAATCTAAAAACTGAGGGTGTCTCCCACCAGAGAGGCTATTATTCTATCCCCAAATGACAGAGCTGTAGGCACTTTTCTAAAAAGAAAAAAAGAAAAAAAGACAGATTTTAAAGGAGCCTAGTTCAATCTCCCTATATGAATTATTTTGGTAGTGATCATATTTCATCCATCCATTACCTGTGTGGCTTTCCAGCAAATGTCATTTTATTCTGTAAACATTAAAACAACCCACACATGTTTCTTCCACATGCTAGATTTCTTAATTAATTAATTGATTGATTGATTGATTAATCTAGATTGAATAGAGCTCCCTTTTCTCAGAATTCACTTAGGATCGTGGATTTAAGTCAGATTGGATCTTTACAGTGAGTTAGATCACATTGATCTGCTTTAGGAGCTCTGGATAAGACCTAAAATTGACTTAGATCTTTTTTGTGCCCCCTATATTCCTTATTTTGAATAAGAGTACATCTTCTGTACCCTTGAGTGACATCAGCTTCCAAACCTGTCAGTGGTAATCTTATATCAGGTTATTTGTTGGGCCATCCGAGTTGGACTTTCTTTCTTTGACTAGCAGCAACTAGGGTTGCTGTTTGGTGAATTTAAGACTTTTTGCATCTAACAAGTCTTTGGTATTTTTCCAAATTGTGTAGTGGGATTCATAAGAAAAAAGAAAAGCAATAGAGACATACAACATACCTCCCGCTTCTGTTTTATGTTGATAAAATAAAAACAAAACCACAAGTGTAAAAGACTGCAAGATGTTTTTCATTTTTTTCATTTAAAAAGAAAAATTGTTATTTCTCCATCTGTTTGAATTTGTATGGAAAACAATGCACCCTAATTCTGTATATGTGTGCATATGGGAGTGTATTTTAATAATATGCAACTCTTTACATCTACTTACCTAAAAAAAAATAATTGTACTCCTCATTTGCATTTTTACAAGTAGCCATCACTCTTACAACAGCCCAGTTCTTCATAACCACATTAAACAAGTTTTATTATTTTACAGAACTCATTTTACAGATGAAAAATTATGAGAAGAAGGAAAAAAGCTATGGTCAAAATGGAATTTGAATGTAAGTCTTCCATAGCAAAATCTAGCTTTTGATCTTCTGGGCTAGTGAATGTTTCAGAAGAGGAGGGAATTAAACAAATATCCATCTGTAATCACACTTTTCAGCTGTTCCAACATTGAAGGACCAGCCAACTCAAAGAACATTGTTTATTTAGAGCCTGATTTTGGCTGGAAGGTTCTGTCCTGCAAAACTAACATACAGTATTACAATAAACTTGGCAATGATTCACATGTCCAAAAGAGCCATTTGCCAAGCTCAGCAACACAGTAATATATGTTTATTCTGGTCAAGCTCCACAGCATCCCTTGGGTCTATTAGTTCCCCTTAATGTCCTTCATCCAGTATTCCAGGTACATTTATCTCAGACAGCGTCATTATTCAAGAGACCTCAAAACAGTGAATCAGATGGGGCAGGAGTCAATGTAAAAAATCTAGTTTTACATGTATAAAAACACTGCAACTGCAAAAGAAATGTGCCATTTCCTGGATTTCCTGACCCATACATGTACACAACTATATCCTGCTCCATATACTCAGAAATTTGTGCTTGTTTTCTGTACACGAAGGCAAGATAGAATTCCTGTAGCAGTCTCTGATTCTGCATACTTTGATTCTGGGAAAGAAGGTGACTGATCATCCTTTCAATCGCTTGCCTGTCTCATAGACATTGTTGAGGAATTTTGCCGTTAGGACTTCATGGAAGTCATTTCTTGGTGTTAATCGTTGACTGAACAAGGTGGTCCTAACCAGAAGTTTCATTTTTTGCTGGCAACTTTTTTCTTACGAGCAGCAACCAGGTCATAGAAAGGGTCTCTAGTGATACTGGTTCTTAAATAAAGAAAAATAGAAGGAATGTTAAGACTTGGCTGTTAGCAAACATTGATTGCCTCCTTCACAGGGCATAGAAGAATCTCTAAACTTGAAGCTGGGGGAAGAAACAGGCCATATGATAGCTACATACATCTTCCGTGTTCACAGATAATGTGTCATTGAACTTATACCAGACAAGAGGGAGTGACAGTGGCCTTCATCTTTCCTCTTAGTCTTTCTAGGGACCCTTGGTACTCTAGGAAGTAGGATGATGGACCAGAAGGGTTTAGAGAACTCTTCTCATGCTTGGGATGATCATGACAAATGTCTGGGGGAGAAGGAAGTAGGAAATAAGGAAGGCAGTATTGCTGAAAAGAATACAAAGCAGTATTCCCTCCCAGGTTTTGGTAATGAAGTCGATATTTTTATCTGTGCATTTGAAATGTTTTCCTGGGACTCCCTTTTCCTTGATTTATGGGGTGAAATGTTTTTTCAGTGTTGCTTCTATCTCTGCCCATCCCTTGGCAACTTTCATCACCAAAAGTATCTCACCTGTGTCATCATTTGGGGGGTGGGGGGACCTCAAAAGTAAATGCAGTCAGATGGTTCACACATGCATGTTCCTTACCTGATGATTGCATAGCAAGTGATTAATTGCATATGCCTATGAAGGCCAACAATTAAAACACCAGGGACAGAATAATTCACATAACTTCAAATGTAATATTTTACAGAAGAACAATTTCGTGAAATGGTCTCAGATAGATGCTTCTGTTAAGCTCCCACTAGAATATTGTGATATTCCTTATTACTGAACATTCCTCTCCTTGTGGGGCTCTCTTTTCCATTCATTGGTATTCCTCTATAGAACCATGATAGCCTTTCTTCCTTACCGTATGGCTTCAATCCATAGATCACGGTCCTCCTGGGAGGCTGCAGAGATCTTATAGGACTGGTGCTTGCCTTCAACTACCTTTCCGTCCCCATCAGTTTTGCAAGCTTTGATCTTCTGCCCTTTGCAGTTTGCATTGAAGAGCTCAAAGCAATTCTGAGAGGAAAATGTGGAAAACAATGAGAATCAGCAATACTGCTCCTTCCAATATCTGAAATGTGTGTGCACATCTCTTTCATGCTGTAGGTGAGAAACAGCAAAATGCCTTTAATACTTTAAGCTTTAAACATCCTGGACCCCTCTATGACACAGCACAAGAATCTTAAAGGACCTTCAATTTATTTACGCTGGCCAGGATAGCTGGGGATGATGGAATTGCTAGTCCAACACATCTGGAGGAGGATGCCATTTTATACACTTGTTTCATTTATATGCAGAATAGAATGCAGCTACTTAACAGATTTTGCATTTTTCCAGATGATGCGGCATAGTTCTAGCCCCCCCCTTCAATAAAGTACCAACATTTATTTTAAAATGTGCGTTAAGAGAGGGTATTGGGATCTAATTAGATTCAGTTCCAGTAAACTGCTAAATCATGGCAAGATGTTACATGAAGCAGTCCTCTGCTTAAGCACTTCCCCCTCTCTGTTTCCCTGTCTTGCTTCCCTTCTCTTCCATTAGTCATTTGATGGATTTCAGCATACCAGAGTTTTAATTGCATTTTACCATTCTTGTATTAGCCACCTGAGACCATACAAGGAAAAGCAGAAAATAAGCATCTTAAATAGATCAATTGATTACTGCTGGACTGGCAAAGTATGATACATGTGTATTCTGCAGACCAGGATTAGACATTAGGTTTTGTTCCTGTTTTCTAATCTTGATTTTTGATTTGCTGAAAATAAGGAAGTAACTAAATCAGAGAGTGAATACATGGAAGAGTAAAGCATCAACATATAAACAAGCCCATGTTCATTAGATACTTATCTGAATACTCGAAACAGCCCAGATCCTATATTGGGTCCATTTTTAACTGAATTCTGAAGATTTGGGAGTCAGAAAGGCTGATTTTCTGGAAAAGCCCATAATTGGGGTTTCATGTAAACCCCAACTCTTTAGAATGCTTGTGATCTGGGGATATCTCCATGCTGTACAACCCAATCCTGTGCCAATTTTCTCTGAAGCAATCCCCACTGAGTCAGTGTATGCAGGCTTGGCATAGTGTCATTGATTAATGAATGGAATGTGCTGGCCAAGAATCCCTTTGTATTTATACCTAGCTGGTCCTTAGCGAGAATCAGCCATTTAGATACCCTTGTTAGGATTACACATCCAAATGGTATGCAAGAAAATAAATGATTTGATATCAGCTTTGTAGGGCAATTTAGCTGCTTCCGCTTTGTCTACCCCTTTAATAATTTTCCAGGATGGCATGTGGCATCATGTATAATTGGTGATTGGTAATCCTCCTCCTTCCATTCTGTTAACTATACTAGGAGACAAGGAAGGAAAGTTGCTTCTGGTCTGGTACCAGTTTTTGTCCAGTGGAGCTTTCTGACGAGATCATCCTGACTGACACTGTTAAGGCTGTATCTTGGGTCCTTGATTAGGCCAGACTGGAAACAAAGGGCTGCTTCTTATCTTTTGAAAGACAAGTGTAATGTAGATTTCAAAAATCATTATGTTAGAAGTGCCATGTTGAGAATACGGAATAGATATAAACCCAGACTGTGCCGGAAAATGTCTTTATGGCTCTCAGCACAAGAAGCATTTTATAGGAAAGAAATAGCAGGTAACTTCAAATACAGGTAAAGAGAAATGGTTAACCTATCGAGAGTTGTTAGAACAAGAGCATAGAAAATATAAGATGAAATCGAGAGAACAACTGGCTACAGAGAGATTTAGTTTTCAATGGTTTTCATACACACCATTAAAAGAAAGATTTAAGGTAGATAACAGGGCATTTGGAACTGAGCAACAGAAGACAGAATTCGACTTATGTACAGATGATGAATGTGTAATTGCCAAAGCGTATAAACTCTTGCTGAAATTTAAAATGGAGGACAAACAAGTGAAAGAGTGTATGGTAAAATGGGCTAAGAGTTTTGGACATAACGTATTGTTGGAACAGTGGGAAAACATGTGGTTGAAAGGACTGAAATTCATATTATGTTATAATCTAAAAGAGAACTTTTATAAAATGATGTATCTTTGGTATATGACTCCAGAAAAGTTATCTAGAATGTATAATGGTGCTTCAAATTAATGTTGAAAATGTGGACAACATAAAGGATCATTTGATCATGCTTGGTGGACTTGTAAAAAACCAAGAAAATTGAAAAGAAATGGCAGACTGAAGAGGGCTCCATGAAAAGCAGAGCCGACAACTGCAGCAAAGAACAAACAGCTGGTGAGTAGACCTGCTCTTCAGAAGATCTCCGGACAAGGAGAGGATGGGTGATTGCTTACATGTGCTCTGAACAATTCTCCTTGCAAGACAGCGGTCTCTGGCAGGTTTTGAGCACTGGGAGACAACAGGAATAGCCATCTTGCTCACAACTGTAGTTGGTGCCTTGTAAAGGATACTAAGTTCGCAAACTTCCTTTTCTAATCACATTTGGAAATTGCTTGTTAACTACTTTTAAGCTATTAGAGACATTTGGATTGACAAGTCTGAAAATGCTGGGTGAATTTTCCTTCAATCCTTAATGAAAGAAAATTTTAATGATAAATTTAAGAATTTAAAAAATTGAAATAAACAGAAAAAAGCTAAATAAGACTTTGATCCTAGAAAGTTATAAACAGATTAAGGGTCCAGATAAATTTGGAATAAAAATTTGGAGTTAATTATAAAGAATCCTACCTGTGGGAAATAGATTTGTTTGGACTTTTGCAAGACAAAATAAAGATAAGCAATGTTACATATTGGACACTAGAGGGAGCTGAAGATTTTAGTTAGAGAAAAATACACAAGCCTCCTTAAAAGCTAATTAACTGGGATGTATAAAATGATGCAAAACATTATCACATTGAACATACTGAAGGACACTTTTGAAAAATGGAATCAGAAGTTAGTATCAATGTCATAGCAATGTTTGCTTCTCTGGATACAGTAGCAATGACTTACTGGTTTCTTCAGATCATCTACTGGTCGAATTGATAGGTTTTCCAGTGGAATAATCCCCAGAGGCTCTTTGTCCTAGTGAACAGCAGAAATCATAAGTAGGTTGTCCCAGTGTGCACACAATATCAGTGAAATTACTGGTAAATCTTAAGTCTCCATTTAAACATGTCTGTAAGAAGAGTTAATTCCCTGTTTCCTGCATGGGATTCCAGTTCAGCAGAAAAAAGTGACATCTGTACAAAATGCCCTATGACTGGAATGGGAAACAGGATAACTGGTTTCTTAGTTTCTGCTGTAGAAAGGAATCAGGGGAATAATTCATTCCAGAAAGACAGGACAACAAGGATGTGATCTGCAAGAGATACATACTGTCCCATATAACTCTGAAAAGCTAGAGAGCCTTCTGCTAATGCAATCAGATAAAGTACTTCATTCACCTCACCATGAACTGAAACCATGACCTCAGTGTCATGAAGGATTCTGCATTCTTTCATGCAAGTTTTTCATGTTGACTGTTCACTTCTACAACCAGAATAAGTAGTGAACCAAGCATAGCCAAGCATCAGGTAGGGTAATGTGGAAGACCATAAAGGTAGAAGACCTCTGCCTGGATATATCAGCAGGATAAAGTCAGGTACTGGGCACTCTTATTCAGGCGATCCTGAATTCAGCTATGGTCAGCTCAGCTCAACAGATCAGTCAAAGTGGGCTTGGACAACCTTCTGATTCACCTAGGCTCTAAGACTAGCCAAGTAATCTTATACACTGAGACTCACCCCTGAGGACACTCTTACCGTGGTGTATTCAAAATAGTACAGGCAATTATCTGTCAGAATGAACCAGCGCCGTTTCCAGGTCTTCACTCTGCCTCCTACAGCAAAAAGGGAATGAAATGAGCCAGTTATCTTTTGGAGAGAGATAAAGGTAGAGATTTATCTCACACACACATACAAGCGTAAGGAACATCTTTATATGGATTATTGATTAAACAATATTTGCTACAGCTAGTAAAGCCATTGGTCAGATACTTTGTCAAAACATCAGAAGTTAACTACCATTTGCCTGCTTCTGGTTGAAGGGGATGTGATTAGAACTCTGTCTTAGAATACCTCACATTACGTGGCACAACCTACAATAACTGTGTTTCTAGGTTTAGAAAATCCATTATCTAATCCTCAAGCTCTTGCTGCTATATAATTTTTTTCAGCTTATTTTTTTAAAAAAAATCCAAAATGTTGGTTTAGGGCAGGAGCAGAGGAAAAATATCCAGCTCAAGAGCCAGATGTCATCCCAGACTACCTCCAGGGGGATGGCTCACATCATGGAATGGCGCTAAAGGCTCCACCTTCCTCTCTTCCAAATCCCTTTCTTCTCCCCTAGATATCATCCAGTTCCCACGGAGGTACTGAAGGTGACAGGCCTTCCCAGCTTGAACATTCCCAGCTAGAACATTCAAGGATTGTTTTCCTAAGATCCATTTTTTTTCCTTTAAAAAAGTCATGGAATGGCAAAGGTTTCAAGATATCACTTGGCTTCTCAGTGAAGAGAAGAAGGGGGAGGAGATGTTCAGGTAAAGTAAGGGGGTTTGCGCCAGGAATCTTGTGGATTAGATTCAGTCAGAGCCAAAATGCCTTATCCTTTCTTTACAGCTTTTGTTTTAGACCTTTAAAGAGAGGAGAGGAGCACATCAAAGACCAGCCAGGCAGAAGACTGCACCGTTAACCAGAAATAAGTCCCACCATTAATCCTAACAAGCAGGTTGATGAATTAGTGAAACAAAGTACAGTACATGGATGGGAAGGGAAGGAAAACAGCATTTCATTAAATCATTTCTCTTTGAATTGCTGAGTTGTTGTACAAATTATTGGTTAAATCACTGGTTCTTGACAATTCTGGTTCAAATCTCCTGCTCATAAATTCTGTTTATTGTGCAGCTTTGGAAAACCTGTCGACATAGGCACATATGTATATGTTATATATAAATGAAGTGCTCTGTGCTGGAGTTTAAGAACCTTCACGACTGTATTCTAGCTCTGGTTCCTGGGTCCCTTGACCCAAGCACCACAGCTTCCAATTTATCTTTTGAAAATGCGTCCCTAACATTTTCCCCAGCAACTGGCCCTCCAGGTGGCTTTCCCTCAGCCCATTAAATGATGCCAGCCAAGAACCAGGCCAAGTGAGGAGCAAAGAATCAGCCACTCTGTTATTGCCTTGTGCATTCTGCAGGAGTCTCTAGAGCAGTGTTTCTCAACCTTGGCAATTTGAAGATGTGTGGACCTGAGCTCCCAGAATTCCTCAGCCAGCATGCTGGGGAATTCTGGGAGTTGAAGTGCACACATTTTCAAGCTGCCAAGGTTAAAAAACACTGCTCTAGAGAAGTATATACCAGTCAAACACCAGGGGTCGCTCTCACCCCACAGCTGAAGACTGGCTGGCTTCTGCTGTTGCCTCCTCAACTCCAGTATTAACACAACAAGCTCCCTTTTTCCTTAAGAAAGACTTGAATTTGAGTAGAAATCAGGAACAAGATTTTTTATTTTCTTATTGGCAAATTACAAGTGGGTTACCTAGCTTGAGGAGCCAGCCTTCCCGACTAGGGTTGAAGAAAGTGTGGGTGAGGTCATTTCCGTCGTCCTCTGGAATGGAAAATGGTTCGTTCTTGATACTATCAAATAAATTCTGCCGTGGGGAAAAGGAGAGGAGAAAGAAAGGGAAAATCCTGAGGAGTTTTAATGTGCAATTTACCTGGTCAAGCTTTTTATCTCTCTAGTGCAGGTCCCCTGATTTGGGATCTCAGGTAGAAGATCCCTTCTCCTGCTGCCTGTTCCTTTTGATCAGATGGACTCTTGACTGGATCTGGGACTTCTTGCATGGAAACCATCTGCCTCATCACTGAGCAAGGAGGAGTCCTTTCTCTTTATTAACTGGCAAATTTGCACTTCCTTAAGATTAACCATATAGACCAAACCAACCTGAGTCTCGGCACATCCGTGGTATAGCTGCTTAAATACCCATAGAGTTTTGACTGAATCACTGGAAATCTAGTCACACCATTCCTACTGCTAGAGTGTAGTCCAAATAAACCTTTTCATTCAGCAAAATGAGATAGAATTAAGTGGTTTGACTAATTTCCTGTCTTTAAAAAAAATCAGGAAGCACCCGTTTATCAGTCCTCTCTTTCCCTCCCTCTATATGTGCATTCTTATTCTTGATACATCATTTTGTGCCATGAAACTATGCTTTCCTGCCATTCCTCTCAATCTAATTTGGAACCCAAATCATCATAATAAAAGCATATGCTGTTAATCAGAAATAAGCACCACCAACTTGGTCCTAATAAGCAGGTTGATGAATTAGTGAAACAAAGTACAGTATATGGATGGGAAGGGAAGGAAAACAGCATTTCATTAAGTCATTTCTCTTTGAATTGCTGAGCTGTTGTATATATAACTTTTATTTTTCATAATGTATTCTATGCTTGAGTGCCAGTTTGGTGAGGTGGTTAAGGCATCAGGCTAGAAACCAGCGGATCATGAGTTCTAGTCCCGCCTTAGGCACAAAGCCAGCTAGGGGACCTTGGGCCAGTCACTTTCTCTCAGCCCTAGGAAGGAGGCAA